TTGCTGCATGTGGTTTGACTTTTCAGCAGTGCTTACTGTATTTACTGCATATTTATGTAGAAGGATAGTAGCACAGATAATGTTATGGATCTATTTCACTCATTAAAGCAGAAACCTAGAAATTATAATTTTTCTAAAATTTATTGGGTTTTTATTTTATCATTGAATTTGCTCAACGGCTGCATCATACAATCCAGAACATTCCAGCCATAACATTTACAGGTGACTCCAATACATGCAATATCTCCTCCTGTGGATAACTAATCTGATTTTACACACCTAAAACTGGGAGGATTCAAAAACAAACAAAACCAAACATACTGAAAATATGCCTTGTATTTCAAAGCTGTACATATGCAATAGTACTTGACCAAACTCAGTTACCTTTATATAGCTATAGTCTTGATATAGAATAGTATCAGTTACACATAAGAGTTGGCATCTCATTGCAAAATTGACCTCATGTTTACAATTTTATACTAATCACCTTACTGATCTTTCAGTATTGAATTTATTTGCTTTTGCAGTGCCCTACTCTCTACTGTCTGAATATTAAATGTGTTGAGTCTTTAACCTTGAGCCTGAAATGAATGTGAACCAAACTCAAGATACTTGGCTTATATGAAGCCAGGTAAACATTCGAGTATAAGCCCACACACTACCAACCATAATACATCTGTTGATGCTTAACAGGCCTTGTGTATTTTGCCTAGATTGCTGTACTTAGGAGTGAGATTCTGAACTTCATGTTTTTCTTCTGATGGGAAAAATTTGTAGTATCTAAAATTCTATTATTTCTTTTATTTTTCTTGCCTGATGCAGTATAATAAATCTAGCTTTGAAGGTGGGATGAAACTGAAGAGTTTTTTCCATTGCAGCTACAGAGAAGAAAGAAGTGGAAACTTATAGCAATGTCAAAAATGTCCTGAAGTGTTGTCCCCACAGTCTTTTGTTTAAAAGCAGTTCATTTTTTTCCTGTTGTCTCCATTACTGTGAGAAAAGGGAGCTGTATCACACTGTTTGTCTTCCCTTGGCATTGTCAGTATCATAAAGAAATATCATTACATGAACTGTACATAGTTCATAATAAACCAACACTTTCTAGGTTCTATCCATCATGGGTATGTCCCTGCTTTTACATGCTGTACAACCATAACAACATTACATGAAGTTCATCTGCTTTATTTTATCTTCAAAAACGTAATGTGGGCTTTGTTTCAGCAGAGTCCCTAAGCATTTTTACAACAGATCTTACTTCAAATCTTGAATTTAAGCATGTATTAAAAGAATTTGTTGCTGTTGGGCCATGTAACTCCGTGTAAATAATGTTTTTTCAGTTCTTAGCTTAAATATGGTAGTATTATTATACAGAAATTAAAATGCCACCTTTGTATCAAAAAACCCTCTACCTCTGTTTCCACTAACATAATGAAAGAAGCCAGTTTTGTTCCTGCAAGCAATAATTTGACACATTGGGGGATAGACTATGAAAAATATTTTGAACTATATTGTAATGCAGAAATTCTGTCACTGAATGAGGTGTGACACTAAAAAAAAAATGTTTTCTTCTAGATGCCAAGCTAAATATGCAAAATTTAAAGTTGTGGAGGCAGTTTCTCCTTAAGTGAGACATTAATGGAAAACATATCTACATCTCTGAAACTGTAGAGAAATTAAAAAAAAAAAAAAAAAGAAGGTAGTGTCCTACAGCTCCTTAGTGAAAAAAAACCCAAATTTATTAGAAAGCTAACTTTTATGTATTCTCAGCTTTAGGGATTTGCCCAAGTTTGGTCCTTATATTACCATTCCATTTAGAAGATTAACTATTTCAGGTGCCAGCAGACCTGAACTAGTTCTAAGCTAATATTTCCAGTAAAAATTGCTATGTACAAGTAAATGCTATTCTAGTAACATCTAAATGTTCCTGCAAGATTCAAACAGTCCATGCCAAAACTTTGCCACAGATCTTCACACAAAGTGCTACAACTGCTGGTTGATTGTACATTCTGCTATTATATCTTCAGACTGTTGGGTAAACACATCTAAGCAGTTAGTATAGCGTTTGCTTTCAATGGATTGTTAGTTCAGGCAGTCACTGCAGAGCACCAAATTCAGGTCATGGCAGACACATTTTCATAACTGGCTTTCAAATACAACCTAAATCTGTAGTTTTCCCCCAGCTGTGTAAGATGTTAGCCAGCTAGATAGATTGACTAAAAGCTTGGCATTAAATGCAAATTGGATGCCAAATCTTGGTCTTAAATGCAATATAGATGCTTTCCCTACTACAGAACTTGGAGCCTCATAATTTGAAATCAGTTCCTCCCTTGCTAACCCCTAGAGGCTTAAATACAGTTTGTGTGACTAGAAGAAAAGCTTTACTTAAATTGGATTCTCCTGGATCTGTTCAAGTATAATATCAAACTGCAGACCTTTAAGTAAAAATTTACTTTATCTTTATTAAAAAGAGTTCAGCTGGCAAATAGAACCTAAATCTATGCAATAAGAAGTGGAGGTATTCAAGAGAATGAAATTTATCTGTTAATTGGTAAGATATAGGAAACAGCTGCAACTGAATGGGATGACTTATTTTTACTTAGATAGCAGAAATAATAGGTAGCTTTGCAGAAAATGTCAACATATCAGCCCATACTATAAAGTAAACATGTTACAAAAAGTTTCCTGATTTAAAATAGGACAATATAGTAACATGGTTTTAAGATTGCCTTGACAAAACATAGTGGTTTTTTCATTGTTTAGAGAAATCACTTTGCACTTTAAAATACAAGATAGAAAGGCCTAGATAATGAGGGGATTAGTATGTCACCTCTTCTCCATGAGTTCAGATCCTATCTTTAGTAATGCAAATGAATCTCTTATCCCAGTCTGTTTGTTCACTATACAGATCCATCACATAGCACAGCACAACTCAAAAGAGATTCAGCTCTCATAAAACCCTGGTTTATAATTCCAGGTGCTCTGTCAAAGAGGTGTTAGGTACGCTATGATTGTAGCGTGTGAAATCTATTCTTACCGTCCTCCTGTCTTGCACCTCTGCCAACCTCCTAAAATATTCTAGTATCCCAAGATCTGGACAAGCCATTCTGTACCACTGCAATCCTCTTATTTTGAGCATGAGCAGTCACAAGAACTACTTTTTGTATGGTGCCCTGCTGTTACCAAATGCATGTATAAAGACAAGGGAGAGTATTTGGACTGACTGAAGGCCATGTATCTGAAGACGGCATGACTTAGTTCTGCTATTAGGATTTTTGAAAGATGATGAATATCCTAATTTAAAGAACATAAACAAGGACAATGGTCAAAGGGATCAAAATTCAGGTCAGCCTATTTCTCAAATGCGCTGAAGTTCTGTAGAACTTGGACAACTCCAACCACAGGATCAGCTAGATCCCACAGCTGCAACAATATGACCCCATGCCATTACTAAAACGCAGTCTGCCAACTGAAAGAGGAATTAAAGCTTTACAAATTAGTAGTGTATTAGGCCAACAAGTAATGTGCAGCATATTTACATGTAAAAAGATACACATGGCAACCACCAAACCATTTCAAATGTGTGTGGAGAAGCTTTCACAATGCCTGCATGCACCTTTTCTGCCTCTGCCTGTGTTTTGGTCTCCCCTCTAAGAAATGCTAAAAATTCACTCATGGACTACATGGAAGTAGAAGGATAGAACTCGGTCATAAAACATTTGCCAACAGATCACATTTTGCCATTCTGTTTTTTACCCTCCCCCCAACCCCAAAAGTTATGTTTTTTTCAGCAGTAAAGCAGCACAAACCTTCACTTCTTTTCAGAACTGGTAGGTCACTGGGATATAGACAGCATCCCTCCCTTTGCCCACCCACAGAGGACTTAGTGTCCCCACTCTACAATGCTCCTCACTCTGTTCCTCTGATTTCCTACTGGGAAAGCAGGTTGCACTGTCCCCAACAGTCTAATGGGCTGAATCTTGTAGTTTATTTTCACCTGTGTTCTTACTGTCAGGTGGTTAATGGCATTAGATTGACCCTAGCATAAGTCAGCTGACCTGGACTGCATATATGGCATAAATTCTGTCGCTTCCAGCATTTAACTTCACAGTTTTACAATTGAGACACAGAAAATGAAAAAGCTTGCTGTTTAACAATGTAATTCAATTCAACCCAACAATCAATACGTTATTTTGTTACATGTTTTATATACAAATATTAAAAAGTTAAATGGCTAGAACAGTGGGTCTATACTCGAGTGTTTACCTCACATATGCATGAAGGGAAAAATAAAAGTTGGTTCAACAAATACTATGTTCACATTATCCAGGCTTCCAAGTGTAGTTGTTGTGTGCAAGTTATCTCTGTTCATGTGGTAACTGTGATTTTTTTTTTTCCCCTGTGGTAGCATGATTATGCTTAGTACTGTGTCTGCCTGGCTTTTTGTGCCCTTGGCTGCATTCATTTAGATTTTGCTTTAAAACATTGATATTACTTATAGTTTTTACAGTTGGCCCCTGTGTGTCTCTCATAATTACCCATCCAACTGTGTCTGTGTTCTGTGCTTTTCTGTTTGTGAAGTGTGTTATGTGTAATGTTTTTTTAACAATACAAAAGAGACTTTTTTAATTAAAAAAGCCTTCCTACTTACCCACTGCAAAACTATCAACATGCATGGTTTTACATTTGCATTACAATTAACATGGCTTGTCTTTTACTAGGGATGTACCACACGAGTGGACGTTCGCTTTCTTTAACCAGTACTTCCCATCAGTTCTTTGATGGCTTTAAACTTGATTTATTTTAATATTGCAGTTGATACAGATATTCAAAATGCACATAACTGAGCCACTCGTTTATGCATATAACATCCAGAGACTATGGACTTCAGCTGCCTGCACTGCCCTAACCATATGCTACATTTTTCACGAAGTATTCTTTAACACAGTTTTGCCCTTTGAAGGTGCTACCTCTGACACCCCTTTCCTTTTCTCCCCCCCCAGATCCGCGTCGTGAAGGCATTCCGTAGCTCTCTCTATGAAGGTTTAGAAAAACCAGAATCTAGAACCTCTATTCACAACTTTATGACTCATCCTGAATTTAGGATAGAAGATTCCCAGCCCCACATCCCACTCATTGATGACACAGACCTAGAAGAAGACCCAGCTCTCAAGAAAAACTCAAGTCCACCGTCTTCACTGAACAAGAACAACAGTGCTATCGACAGTGGAATAAATCTTACAACTGATACAAGTAAATCAGCTACCTCTTCTAGTCCAGGAAGCCCAATACATAGCCTGGAGACATCACTTTAGCTGAAAAGGTCACTGCAAAAATAAATAAATAAATAAATAGAACAACCCCACAGCAACAGAAATATATAAATATATATTAAAAACATTGCTGGCTGAAAAGCTGTTTGAACTCTTATTCACTCTGAGACAAGTGAATGAATCGTTGATCACAATGGTTTTGGGGAAAGAATGAATGGCTGATTTATATACCCTCCTTGTTCCCTTTCAGAAAAAAAAAAAAAAATCCTCCTGCATGAATGTACTGTACACTTCTGGCCCTTCTTTCTCTCTTTTTGTTTCTTTTTATTTCCTTTTGGTTTTCTTTCTCCTTAAGCAGGAACTGCAGAGGACTTCTTTCTGAGGCTATTTATCCAATTCACTGGTCTGTGAGTTTTTTTGAAATGCTTGTGTGGCATGGACTCAATTGTATAGATTAATTTAAATAACTTTTTTGAAGTTGCAAAGCTTAACTTGCACAGTAGATTTGCACCAGTTGGACAGAGGAACTTAAACATTTATGAGACTATATATAGAGATATATACATATAAGTATATACATAATTATATATATGTATATATCTATCTATATATATATAGTTATATATATAAAGTTTCTTTGTTGGCATGTTGCCTTGTTTCTGCTCAAATTGCTCTGACTATTTTAACTTATTTATGTCCTAAAAAAAGAATGTAATTTGTTTACAAACCTGTAGATAATATCCTTAACTATTTGTAGGGTTAAGAAAGCACTTCCTGCCGAAGTAGTATAAAAATGGCTCAGCTCAGCTCACTGAAAACGTCTGTAATATTGAACCCTGGATATTTTAGTACAACAGTGTTCTGATTTCTGCCTGATTTTTTTTTTTTTGTTAAATAATGTAGATACTGCTAGTAAATAACAAAAGAAGCCAAAATATAACACATTGGATGTAGCATTGTGATCCTATATACAGGGAGGTAAAACAGGCTTCCTTTGTTTCAAATAAATATCAAAATGATCAGGTTCTCTCTTTTTTTTTTCCCTCTGATAATCTGCTTGAATTTGTTTTGGTGCAACGTACAATATTGGAGGCTATTTCATTCTTTAAACATATGGCAATGGCTTCCAAAAATATTTTTAGAGAGATATTATATGAAACTGAGTTGAGTTTATAAATATAATTTAAAGTAACTTATATTTGGTTTGTCTATATGGAGATAAAACTAATGTTAAAATATTGTGATATATTGTGTTAATCCTTTTCAGTTAGTAATTTAGGCATTTATTTCCTTGCAAAATATGGGCTGTTGACAATTTGGATGAAAATGACTGTAGGTTGTTGCTTTGTTTTGATTTTTTTTTTAAAGCAAAATATAATTTCTGCACTATTAGGTCTGAATGCAACTTTATTAATCGTATATTGAGATGTGCTTTGTGTGTTTTTTTTTTTAACCAAGCTTGTCTTCCTGTAGTCACAAGGTATACTGTAACACAGTAACACATCATTTTACCTTGCACTTTCTACGAAGAAAGCTATTTTGAAAACCTGCAGTATGGAGGGTTAAAAATATTTTTCAAGATGGTAACAGCCCTGATAATTTAAAATTTACGAGCTTATATAATTGCTATGTCAACCACTTGAATGCTAAGCACTTTGTGGATCACAGATTTTTCATAAATAATTTTTGTATTTACTATAAAGTTTGCTTGGAGACTTTTCAGCATATGATCTTTTCCATAATTGTACAGTGCAAAAGACATTTTGAATTACACAATTGATTATGCCAGATGTGTTGAAAAACACTCTCAAACTAGCTTGATAAATAGATTTGTTAAGGCATTACTGGTTGTCTTAAAGTTTGCTCATAAAGTGGTGCATCTCTGCAGTCACAAGAACTAAACCAAGCCAGAACTCTCCAAAACAAGATTAGACTCATGGCCAAACTGCAGACTGAATGGGCTAAAATGTTTTCAGGGTGCATCAAGACTATTCAGCCAGGTAAAGCTCTAATCAGCTTGAATTGCCAGCTTCCGGACTTTTGTGTAGAAGCTTCAAAGTTTTTGGCTCAAAAACACTTAGTTTGCTATCTATCTGATCCAAACTTTTCACTGAACAACAAGAACAGGTCGCTGAAGGCACATACAACTTCCTTTTCAACAGATAGTGTGACCCATTTCTTAACAGTAAAAAGCTAGCATGAAAACATAATTATTTTAGATAATTCCTAGAAACAAAGTGATTGAAACTCAGTCAGGATTGTTCTTTGCTTTGTAAATATGGTGATTAACCTTTGTATAACATGTATTGGGTTTCTATGGCCTATTTGGGATACCATATTCAGAAGAAAAAAAAAAGTGTTATCTATTTACAGGGAAGCCTCCAGCTTTGGACTTGACAGAAGCTATTAATACTGGAACAATTTATTTTCAGCATCTTAACACTGACTGTTTGCCTTTTTCTTTCCAAACACTCTTCATAGTTTTTTCTTGGTTTCTTTTTTTTTTTTCAATTTTCCTGTAGAAGTACCCCTCCCTAAGGTACCATTTGCAGACTTGAAAACTGTTAAGAAAATGAACACTTCATTCTGTGTATATATAGTAAAACATATATAAACTGAGATGCATAGAACACTTGGGCTTTTGTGAGCAGAGACTGTGCTTTATGTATATGATAAATGATAGACTTTTTTTTTTTTAAAGCAGAATAGCTATGACCTTTCAACTACAAGTCGTGCATCACAATTCCTTTCTTTTATTGCTTGACCTCTCTGTGATGGGAACAATGGATCAAACCCCAAAATGATCAGTTTGTTAAAATTCCCTGCAATATATAAATGCTCGCTCTCTACGTACTGTACTTAGCAGCATGAGATTTGTGGACAACAATACAGTGGTACATTGGCAATCCATCCCACTAGGGGTTATTACTATATGTTCATTCATCTGTTTTTATGAATTTTTTTATCTAGACAATAATTGTAAATAAAGAACTTACTCTGTCTGTTCATTTAATACTATGCAAAAGGTTATGCTTTCTATTGTTATTCTTATTCCTACAGTGTGATGCTGGAATGTTTGTGGTTTCAAAAAAAAAAAAAAGACAAAAGTAAGTAAAATATGTGATGTAAATTATTTTATAGTTTGAAACAAAATGATAAAGTTTTACTCTTGCTGCTTTCTGTCTAATAGATCTCTTGGCAGGAGCACAAGTGGAAAATTTAAAGAAATAAATTCACAAAGCAGCATGAACAATAACGGTCTGAATGTAACAGCTTGCTTTATTTTCACCTGAAGTAGCTCTGGATTCCCACTGAGATATTTTAATGTAAAGGTGTATGTAAATCTTACGGATTGGCAGTAAGAAGCCTGCTCATCAGTCAGTGGTTACACTTCCATTACACTGAGGCAAAGAGTCAGCCCAGAGTGCTTTTAACTCCTGTCTGACTATGGGTCCGTGTAATGCCTAGAAAGGTGACTTGTTCCACGCTGTGGTGGTGCACGGTAGTGGGAACAGCTGATGTGAATACTGCAGTGAAGTCGGCTGAAATTACTAAGTACAGAATAAGTAAAACAGAGGAAGGCCCTGTGAATTTGCATGTGAAACAGTTTAATTTTTGTCCTAAGACTAACAGACATAGAAGTCTGTTTTCCTATCACTTTGGCCCTTATGACATATTCCTCCATTTATATGTATTTTTTCATTTCTTTTCCCCTCTGTCACAATCCAAAAAAATTATCTTTGAAACTGTCTAGAATTGGGGAGTTCAGTCCAGGACTCACATCCTGCCACTTAAGACCTTAAAAACTGTGCATATGCAATGCCAGGGAAAAAATAGGGAATTCCCATTCTGGTGCTGAGACCTTCAGCCCTTCTTTTTTTTTTTTCAGCTTAGACTAATGCAGTTGTTCCATAAACTGCAATGGAACCTGTCATCATACAGTATTATTGCATTAGCAACAGCGAGGTTTAGAAGTCAGCCAGACAAACACTGGGTTGAACTTCTCACACAAGGTGTGATGTGAGTAACTGTCATATAATCTCATTTTTAAAGGTGAAATGCTTCAAATTACAGATTTACCTGTCTTCTCACCTAGAGTTCAAGCTTTTACCCACAAATTCTGTATGACAAGAATTACTTGCGAGCCAGAACTACAGTGAAATAGCACTACACTGGGAGAAAAATTACCAATAAATAACAGTGTATTCAACACAGTAAATTCAACAAAAACCCACATAAAGAGTGCTATTTAGACAGCAGATTTCTGGGATTAATTCAACTTTACAACTAGTTTGGAATTAAACTGTTTTCTGCTTTGATTTTGTGAGCTCAATCTAGATAACTGAAAATACCGTTCTTTTAATTCTCCGTCGCTCATTTACCTCCTTCAGACACACAAAACTTTATTTACAGCCTTAGTCCAAGTGCTTTTGACAAGTCTCTTCATCCCTGCAAAAAATTATGCATGTGTTGAGGTGTTAGTAAGAAAGTGGACTGGGATTGTTCAGTGTGTTTTAAGCACTGAGTGTATGTTAAGCTTCTGTCAGCTTCAAAGATCGATTTTATGAGTTGCACCTTTTCAAGCGTGTTTGTGAAATACTTTCTTAGCACTGCATGGATGTGAGTTGTACCGGAAGAATAACAGGGACGAAATTCCCTACTACATTGACTTCCTGTTCTATGCATCAAATCCAAGGTTCAGCAAGGCACATGGTGTTTGACATTATTAGCCCATCACTGTGAACTAAGACTGATATCCTGATTCAAAATAAGAACTCCAGGTTTTATTCTTGCTATTCTTCTTTTAGCCTTACTAAATATACTGCTAAGAAGACAACAAAGGTGGTCATGCATGCCTAGATAGAAAAATTGGGTGCTGATCATGTATGCTGATACCACACTAAATGCCACTGTATGTATTTGTCATGAGATGCTCTACTGGTATGGAATGGGGGAAATGGTTCATAAATAGTGGATGAAGGAGAGGCAAAAAGAGAAAAGCAGAAAGGGGAACAAAATGGAGGTACATATATAGTTCACTA